GTTTTGCAAAAATAACAAATACGTTTATGTTGCACTCCCTAAAGAGAAAAAAAAAAGAATTCAGGCTTCTTTCCCCTATAGGAGAATATCTACTAAGGGGTTCTCCTCAACTTCACTTTCACACCAGTGTTGTACACAAATATAAGAATAAAAACACAATCGTGCAATATCGTAAATAAATATTGCATTCTATACATTACACTTGCAGAAAAAAAACAGAAGGCGACACACCACCACTCCCAAGTGGTCCCATTTTGATTGTGTCAGTTAAGGTGATCTTAAAAATTACAGTTTTTATCATAGTAAATTTCACCAGTTTTCACAGAAATTTCCTTTAAATTCCACGAATTTAAAAAGTGACATAAAAAAAATTATAAATCAGTTGCCTGAAAACAAATTGCCACATGTTCACAAATGATGGTTAGGACGCAAAACAAAACCCCCAATAAGCTGAAAAATTCCGACAGATTTAATAAATTGCGCCAACAGTTTGTGGATTATTAATGTAAACGTGTCAGACAGTTTGAAAAATCTCCCCCACTTCTAGTTTAAGCAATTTTTGCTTCATTGTGAATGTTAGAGAGTACCTCTGCCAATGTGTCACAGCCCACACTGTTCTGGATCCATATTGTTTTTAAAAATAAATAAATAATAAATCTCATAATTGCTTTTAACCAAAACACGTGATACCATGCACATTCAAGAAACAATATTCTATCATGCTGAGCAGGCTCAGAATCACAAACTCATTGAAGTTATAGTTAATGGAATCTTGATTTCACTGTCCACTATCTGCGTTGTCTCCTAGGCTGGTATTATAGAAGATATGCTTGAAGACACATTTGAAGGAATGGAGGACCAGGATGAAATGGAAGAGCAAGCGGAAATGGAAATCGATAAAATCCTATTTGAAATCACAGCAGGTAAGAATCAGCCTTAAAGCAGCTCTATCATGGTTTTTGTATCTTTTTATAATTACCTCTTTGCAACTTTCCTTTATCTATTATAGTCACCAGAACAACTATAGCTTATTGAATTTGTTCTGATGAGTAGAATCATACCCTTCAGACTTTTTGCTGTTTACACTGTTTTTAGAGAAAATGCATTGTTTATATTAAAGCCTAGGGATACCTCCACGGGCTACTCCTGAGATGGCTACTAGAGGTGCATCCTGGGGCAGTGCTGCACAGTGTGACTGCCATTCACTTTCTCCAACCTCTGCATGCAGACTCTGAACTTTCCTTATAGAGATGCACTGATTTAATACATCTCTATGAGGAGATGCTGATTGGCCAGGGCTGTGTTTGGCTTGTGCTGGCTCTGCCCATGATCTGCCTCCTTGACAAGAACAGCCAATCCTAAGGGAAAGAATTGTGATTGGCTCAATTCATAACCTCTGATGTCAGCCAAAAAGGCAGATCAGGGGCAGGACCATCAGCAGCAGATAGGAGTAAAGGTAATATTTTAGTATACTTAGGGAGGGCAAGGGGGACACCGGGGAGATATAGGCTATGCATCTGCAGTCTCACTGCTTAATTCTCTGCCATTTGGGAGATAAATCACGTTGTTTACGCAGCCTTAGTCACACCTCTCCTGCATATGACCTACACACTTCCTGTAAAGAGAGATCTAATGTTTAAACTTTCTATATTGCACAGTCTTTCATTTAGAATTTCAAATCTCCTACTCTGGTAGCCTGTTAGATCCTGCAGGGTCCTCCTGTTTGCGATTAAAGTTCAATAAACAGAACAGAAGATTAAAAGCTTCTAAAGTAAACACACTGTGCTGCCACATCTTATTGCGAATGAAACGATGTTTTCATGTAGGCTGTATGAATCACAGCCAGGGGAAGTGTGGCTACAGCTTCAGAAAAAGAATAAGTGATTTTGCCCATAATTATACACTAAAACTACTTTCATAAACTAATATTCTTTTGGTGCTTAGAGTATCCTTTTAATACCTGGTTGCCTTAATTTTGTTTTCATCTGACCGTGATGAATGCAGTTTATCCTTCTGTGAGATTTAAAAAAAAAAAAAAAACTTTTTTTTGATATATGGATTGTGGATAAATTAGCTTAGCAACTGAAATGAAACTTTACTTAAGCACCGCCCATTGCCAAAATTTGCCAAAGATCACTCTCCACATCAGAAAAAGATTTTAAAATGATTAATTTAAAAAGAAAAGCCGTTAAAGCTACAGAGCTGCTTTAATGTTTTACATGCAGTCAGTTCACTTTGGATACAATAGGCCTGTGCTATAAAGAGATCATATGTGGCAAACGAGGAATGGCTTTGTGAAGAGACCACTTTATATACACCAAGCTATTTAGAAATTGTTGATTTATCACTATTTTCACTTTATTCTTGAAGTTGGACGCTTACATGTCCTGTCTCCTCCCATTAGAAGAATGTACTTTGCAGTTCACTTAGCCAGGCAGTGGGCCTACGTGCCATTTGGCAATGTGTTATGATACATGTTAAATGTAACATTTAAAAAAAAAATTTAAGTCTTAGAAATGTAACGTACAATGGTTCTTAAAGCACGCAGTGTAATAATGTTAAAATCCCTGTCTCTTCCAGGGGCCTTGGGCAAAGCACCTAACAAAGTCACAGATGCCTTACCAGAGCCCGAAGTGCTAGGGGCCACAGCTGCATCAGACGAGGAGGAAGAAGATTTGGAGGCCATGCAGTCTCGACTGGAGGCTCTCAGGAGCTAGTGGTGCATTGTGGGTGGTCTCACACTATGGGAGGCTCAAATGTTTATTTTACTTGGAGACTTTCTTTTGTGAAAGTGTTTTTTTTTGTTCTAAATCTATATATTTATCTATCTTTGGCTTATTAAAGCTTACGTTACCTTTTTGTTCCTTGCCCTCACTTATCTTTTAATGACAAAATGTGGGCATGCTATGGAAATCATTTGGTTTATAAATCTATGTGTATATGTGTGTGTATGTGTGTATGTATATATATATATATATATATATATATATATATATACATACACACACATATACACATATATGGCAGGCACTTCCTCCAGTCAGTTAAGGTAATGGTTAATCACGTACATGATGCAGATCGTGCCTCTCTGCTATTACTAATCTATTAATGATGAGGCCTGTATATGTTATCCTCTTTCAGATCTTTTATTACACTACAGTTCGCATGCATTTTATAATATTTTCAATCTGTAGCTATAAGGATATTGGAGCATGCAGGTCCTGAATGGTTTGTATTGAGGGACATAGTAAGAGGTGGATTGAAGGGACAATTGTCCTTGACTGTGCTCTCTCATTTATAACAAAAGCATAATGGTTACATTAACCCCTGGGGATGTCTGAGATGTTGCATTTAATGCATTTGGCAGTTTTTTGTTATTTTTTATGAGACCTCTGTCCCCCAATGCTTTTCTGCATTTCAGAGAGGACGCATGACATGAAGATACATGCTAAATATCTCTTGCTCTTCTGGTGCTGGAGGGATGAGTGTTAACATGTCCCCCCTGGCAGAAGTAATGATCTTGCACTTTACACTCCACTGATTCGGACAAATGCTATGTGTTCTTTGTTTTGCTAAATTTCCTCTGATAATCAGAAGGGAACTGTGATTCTGTGTATGCTGAATCTATATGTCAACGGTGCCCAGAATACTGGTGGGTGGGAATACACTATATATTAATCAGAGGACCTTTACTTGAGTGGAAAGCCATGTCTAGGACCCAGAATATAACCTGGTATTTTTCTATGGATGGATGTGACACTGCAATTCTATTAAAGGCTATTTGTAAACTGTTGTGTTTATTGGCAATTTCCTTCTGGGAACTACAGACTTGGTGGGGTTTGTCTAAATAGTCTTAATCAGACTGTTTCATATACACCACAAAGATCTGTGTTAATTAAGCAGGTAGACCTTGTTTTACAAACCCAAGCTACATGGTGGGTGATGCCATCCATGCCTTATTTCTTGTAATGCACTACTTAATTGCCACCATGCATTGTGGGGAGTCTCTAAGCTCAGGGCAGTCCTGGGCCATATATTAAGCTAAAATATATAACTTGCTCTATCCCTTAAATGGACAAAGAATATCACTCTTTAGTACAGGGGTTCCCAAAAGGTAGATCCCCAGATGTTTAAAAAAAACAAAAAAAAAACGCTTCCATTATGTCATTGTCATTCCAAAGGCATGCAAAGCATTATGGTGATTGTAGTCCTACAACATCTGGGAATCTACATATTGGGCACTCCTGGTTTATCAGCTATACCCCCAATTAAATCATGCGTGCATTTTTTCGTTTCTCTGGGTGTATATCTGAAAACAGCTTGCAATACCCGCAGATCTCTTGTCTTCTTTCCCAGATCATACTTTGTGTCTGTACAGTCTCAGACTTCTCGATGCAGCTCAGTCAAGTCTTTGCAAGGCAGGTACTTTGAGCAATTGCTGCCTCTTGAGTCTAGCTCCCCTGAGCTAAACAAACCAGGAAGTAACAGGACCGGTTGTCTGTTTGAAAGGCAGGGGCTGTGTACAATTTATAAGTGTCCTTTTTTTTTTTTTTTAATTAAAATCGGCACTTTTTGTAAATTGAAAAACTGAGGAAACTCTCTTTACAAATAAAGCATTTCAACAAACTAAAGTGCTTTAGGGGTCTCTAAAAGGACAGAGGCAATTGTCCATGTTTTGAACCCAAAGAAAATTCTGCCGCGATTTAAAGGAGCACTATAGGGTCAGGAACACAAACAAGTATTCCTGACCCTATGGGGTTAAAACCACCATCTAGCCCCCCTGGGCCCCTCATGCCTCCCTATATATAGCAAAATCGTACATGTATTCAAGCCTGAAGCTGTAGCTCTGCATGCTGTTTGCCTCAGAAAAACAAGCTGTCTGCTGACATCATCAGAAGTGGTGGCCTGATCCAATCACAGTGCTTCTCCATAGGATTGGCTGAGACTGACAAGGAGGCAGATCAAGGGGCAGAACCAGCACAATTTAACACAGCCCTGGCCAATCAGCATCTCCTCATAGAGATGAATTGAATCAATGAATCTCTATGAGGAAAGTTCAGTGTCTGCATGCAGAGGGAGGAGATACTGAATGCTTGGATGCATTTTAGGCAGCCATGACCCAGGAAGGATCTCTAACAGCCATCTGAGGAGTGGCCAGTGAAGTTATCACTAGGCTGTAATGTAAACACTGCATTTTCTCTGAAAAGACAGTGTTTACAGCAAAAAGCCTGAAGGTAATGATTCTACTCACCAGAACAAATTTAATAAGCTGTAGTTGTTCTGGTGACTATAGTGTCCCTTTAAGGGTTTTTCTTTCAATAAAAAATATAAACCAATGAGATTGTAGGCATAATAGATCCTTCTTCCATACCACAGTCTATTTAAAAGCTAAAGAAGAACAGAAAATAAGGGAGGGTACCTGATAGTGCCATGAATACTAACCAGGAAAAGAAAATGATGGTAAGTATGATAATTTTCCTTATTCCTGGCTAATCATGGCAGTTATGGGTAATACCCAAGCAATTTAAACAGTGGTTGGAAATAAAAAATAAACAATTTTACATGCTAGCACACCCAATTTTATTATCGAGAAGTTACAGAAAACACATCTGCCAAATGAAGTGGTAGAAGAGGCCAAACCCAGTCTGTAATGCTAAATAAATGTAATTGGAGAAGACCAAGTGGCTGGCAGATGTCATCTAATGGAACCTCTGACCAAGAAACTGCCAGGGACCTGATGGAATGTGCATTAATTTTCTCAGGAGAGGTTAGATACAGAGTTACAGATAAGTATTTGAGGCAGCTGTGAACATCCAGTTCTTGTAGCTTTGATTCCAAGCCTGTTTAAGGTTCTGGGTAAAAAGAGGGCAGAACTTCATGAAAAATGTGGAAATTGGACACCACTTTAGGTTTTAGCACCACTCCGTCATGAAATACTTGTGTATGGGAAATCTTAAGAAAAGGCTTATATTTTAGAGACCCTTTTTTCAGATGTTACCGCCAATAGGAATAGTTTTATATGTCAATAAAACTTGGGAAATCTCTTTCAATGAAGCAAAAGTAGGTTATATTACGACCCTTTTTTCAGATGTTACCACCAATAGGAATAGTTTTATATGTCAATAAAACTTGGGAAATCTCTTTCAATGAAGCAAAAGAAGGATATATTAACGATTCCAGAACTAAAGGCAAATTCCAAGGAGGAGTAGATTTTTTTTCATAGGTGCAGTGTTCTCCAACCCAGTCCTCATGGACTATCAACAGTCCAGGCTTTATATATCTCCCTGTTTTATTCCAATGGAGATACTGACTGTTGGTGGTCCATGAGGACTGGGTTGGAGAACACTGGTCTAATGCACATAGCTGCTTTAAAGCATTTCTAAATAAGAGGATCTTCGATCCATGAGATGTTATAGAGGTCAGATAGATATGAAGATTTAACTTTTAAAGTACTCATTTACTCTCTTACTGTTAACATCCAAGGAGGCTCCAGATTCAGTCTGCTCAGCAGTGGAAATTAGGGTCTTCTTCGCCACACTGGAATCATTGTTATAATTTTATTTCCTTCCTTTCTTCCATATTTTCTTCAGAAGCTGATGTATCATAGATAGGGGACGGAAAACACATACTCCAGTTCGAAATTCCAAGTCTAAGATAAGGCATCTTGACCTGCTGAGAGGATCAGGACTTAAGGAAAACCTATTTTGAACTTGAGCATTCTTCGAGTTGGCCATCAAATCTGTCTGGGGCATGCCCCGCCTGATAGAAATCTGCAGAATGACTAACTGGTTCAATCTCCTTTTCTCCTGGACAAATAACTAATCTGCACAAATAATCTGCCAATAAATTTTCAGGACCAGGAATATGGTCTGCTTTTAATCCTAGTAGGCGAGTCTGGGCAAATGTAATCAGATAACACAATTCTGTCAAAAGCCGGTTGTGCAGGCGCCCCGTTGGTGATTCAAATATGACGCCACTGCCCTGTTGTCTGTTTGAATCCCCACCCATAGTAGTATTAGGTAAACACTAAGAAAGCTTTGGAGATGGCTCAGTTCTCTTATGTTGGAATGCAATTTCCTTTCCTTGGTGGACCATATCCCTGGTCTACACAAAGTGCTGTAATGAGCTCCTCATCCTTTATGACTTGCATCTGTGGTAATTATTTGCCAACTTGGTTCTTCTATGGAATATCCTTTTCTCAAATTCTTGTCTGTGATCTACCAATTCAATTGTCTTTTTACTGATGGAAGAATCTAGATCTTCTGTTCCCATCTGTGTAAAAAAATCAGTTTGAAATAGAGTCCAACATACTAATCCAATGGTTTATTTAAGGGAACCCATAGACTTTTTTTTTTTTTGCAAATACAGAGGTCTTTATGTGCAGTCTGAATCTTCTATCGGATTCTCATAATCCTTTCTGGATATCGTGTTTCTGTGGCATTTGTCATATCGATAACTTTCTTTAGGAAGATCATTTAATCAGAATCCTTCTGTTATATCGTGTGAGGTGTATCGTGTATGTGCGGTGAATGCTGCCTGTGTATCGTGTGCCTCCCCCTCCCCCCCCCCCGCCATCCCATTAAATTTTGCCTTAAGCCCAGTCCCATGTTTTGAGGGGGGTGGGGGGGAGCTGGACACAAGGTGTAGATGTAGCTTGGTTTAGGTTCTGGGGGGGAGAAGGGATTGATTATAGGCAAGGGTGAATTTAACTAAAGTTACATTTGATTGAAGGCCATTCATAACACATCCTTCTCAAAATGACTAATATGCAGCTTCGTACCATGACCACTAGATGGCAGCAAATTTATATTTTGCTTTAGAGCTGTACTGACTATGAAGAAGTCTGAGCCTGCAAGAGGTCAGAAATAAAAGTAGGAGTGTGCCCATGATTTGTTACCCTATTTTAACATCCGAGGTTGTTTGTATTCTTAAACATCGAATTGTTAAAGGACGGCATTGATTAGTTGGAAAAGTCATAAAAATGATTACCACTGAGGTGGGGAATTGTAATATTTACTAAACTGATTTAGGTAATACCCAAGGAGTTCTTTCATTCCCCTGGTAGAGAAAAGGACATTAAAATAAGGAATATATATATATTACGTTAGTATGGAAAGCAAACATGGAAAGGGCCTGTGTCTGCTCCAGTTTTCAAAACAACACTTTTTCTTATATAATCCCCCAAAGTCTGGAAAATGTCTAAACTGTACTATGCAGGAGATTGACAAACACTGCACGGCTTAAAGTATGCCAACAAATCTCACTCTCATGAATGGAAGGACAACAACTAAATGAATAAAAGAAAAAATAACAGAAGATGTTCCTCTGAAGATGTGGTGGACATTTCCAGGTGATTTGTAGCTGAAGAGAAGTCCACAAAAAAAAGCCTTGAAGGACAGGATGTGAGGAAAATAATTATCCAGGACATCGAAGGGAGACGGACGCCATTGCTCCGAGCTCTGGGAAATCTTACCCTAATCCACGGGGAAACTGGGCAGCACAATACGCTGCTTATCTCAGGACACCCGGAGGCAACTGCAGATGCCGTTCTTTTCACCCGCGGGCTCCAACACACGGCGCCGAGGCAGCAAGGCCCAGCACGTGAGCGAGATTCGGCAGGACCTAGCCGAAGAGCTCCGGCTGTGGATCAACTGCGACCAGGAGGACTGGTTACCCGGTTCCCAAGGTGAGATGGGCCGCAAAATACATAAACAGCCCTCACTCACCCAGAAACCCCAGAGGGACGCAGGCCAGATGCTCCTAACTCCCAACCCCCGCATAAAAAAAGGCCCTTGGATGAGGCAGACCCACCTGACAGCCAGTCCCCCGCGGACACCCCAACCTTAAAGGCCCCTGTGGGAAAAGCAGGACTGCGCCCAGGCCTCTAAAAGCGACATCCAGGCAATGCTGGCAGGGCTACAAAAAAACCTGAGACAGATGTGACTTAGCGACATAACTAAAATCCAGGCAGTAACCACAAGAATGCAGGCGACGGAAGACGAAGTCACAATCCTGAGTCAGAACCTCCACACAGTCGAAGAGAGTGTACAACCACTACAGGCCGCACAGGCAAATATGACCAGGCAGGTAACCCTGGTAGACGACAGAGGCAGACACAAAAACCTCAAGATCAGAGGGGTTGCGGAATCGTTATCATTAGAGGAGTTACCTCACTTTATTAGACGTCTTGCAGAGGCAGTGTTACCCACGAGACAGGCCAAAACCTTCGGATTCAACAGGGTCTACAGGATCTTTAAAACCCTACAAGCATCAAGCACAGCCCTACGTGAGCTTATATTGCGGTGTCAAAAAATGTCTGACAAACTGGGATTGCTGGCGGCTTTGAAGGGAAAAACACCCTATGACTTTGAAAAATCCAAACTATTCTTCTTCCAGAACTTAAGCAGGGCTACGGTAATGTGGCGCAAGAACATGTAATCAGTAACCAAGCCCCTCCAGGACGCAGGAATCGCATACAAATGGGCGACGCCAGAGACGCTCTGGGTTACAAAAGATGTACTGCACTACCAGGTCACAGGCCCAAAAGACGGACCAGCGCTGCTCACAGCACTAGGACTCGTCCAACATAAATTGGACACGGCGATATTGTCTAACCTCCCATCACAGACCACACACTGTGCAGCAAGCTCATCATCGGGAGAGAAGAGGAGTGCACCGACCTGAGCCCGCTAGAAAGGGCCACAAACAACATGATACCAACTAACATTGTTATGATTTTATGCGTTCCTTATCTTGTTATGCAATACCCTGTTTGGTTCTACCTGTTGAAACTACAATTACATTTTATATTGTACTACACGCACCCCATAGACTACAAGCCATAATGACCGCACACTTGCATTGCACCATCCGCAGCACTGAGGTGGTTAACCCGCACCACGAGAACATAGAGATGTCAGCCTAGAGATGGCAACATACCGACCCAGACGGGCAGTACAACTCACCCAAGCCCCTACTTGAAGAGACCCACACTCCCAAGAGCCCACTAAATGACTATAACCCATTCCTGACCTACTCTAACACACCTAGTGCAAATAAACCTAGACAGCAGTATGACAACACCCGATGAGACCCTGGTACAGCCCAGCTTGCACCTCTACATGCTACAGACTTGGCCGGCTCACACAACCCCTCTACGACTCGCAGCACCAAGTCCCTACCACGACTGACTTGCATCTATAGACTACACCTAACCAACAAGACCCAGGCCTTCATATATTTCCAGCCTCACGACCCGATACCTAGAGAGCTGCGAACCCCACATAGACAAGTGAACTCCACTCTACCTTTTTCTCACTAGAGTCATACCTCGTTATAACCTATCAGACCCTCAAAAAGAAAATGTGCAAGTTGTACCTCCACGAAACCCCATATTACTTGTATGGAGTTATAACATTGTGCGGCAGGGCAGTGGTGGCTCAATGCACCTGTTTGTCATATCGACTTGCAGGTAAAATAAAGATTTTTTAAAAAATAAAAAATTATCCTATGTACCAGTGAGGAGAGGGGTCATATTAATGGTCTAATGTAGTGCCACCACCCAATCCAAAGTCTTTCAGCGAGGCTGAAACTTGCGAAAAATATGTAGATTGAAACTTCTATCCAGGATGACCTGATAAAATTTCAACACCATTTGCAGGAATGGTTAAGGAAGTTTCAGTATTATGATCCCATTAAACAAAAACGTTCCAAATCCAATATATGAAGACAAATATGGAAACTTCTTGTACTTCAGCCAGGTAAAAACCAAAGAAACGTCGGGAAAAGTATTGGACCATGTGAGAACAATGCAAGATATGACTGAACTTGCAAAGAGAGCTTTGTTAACCTGAGCAAAATAAGAGTAAAACAAAATTACAACCAAAAGGCAGACGCTACAGGACCAGGAAACAAGAGGTAGACATATTCTAGTTTGAAAGTAATTTGTAAAGGACCTCCATAACCAGAGCTCTGGAATTGTATCTCCTGAAGCTCTGAAAAGTCAACGCAAAGACATCACAAGGATATACATGGTACAAGGGCTTCACTAGAAGTTCCATATTCTGACATCTTTGAGGTTAACAGATTTCACAGAAAATAATGGAGACAGGGAAATAGACAAAAATGAATACCCTCTATAAAGCTAACAGTGCAAATATGTTGTCAGAATGCTTGATAAACAGGGAAACAGAGAGAGTTGCCTGTCCTGCTTTCAAATTTTAATCTGCCCCTGTAAGAAGGAAATCACACATGTGTAGGCTTGGGAACAATCCCTGAAGCCAACGCTACTTTTTCCATCTAAAGTCAAGCAGTTGTAAAAAGAAAAGCAATACTCCTCTGGAATC